TACAATATAACAAACAAATTTTAAATGACAAATCAAGCACATCCTTACAAAATATGCACTAAAAATAAAAAGAAAATCTTACTTTATAGCTCAGTTTTTACAAGAAATAGCAAAAATTATTGGAAAAACACTTAAAAATTCTGCAGTATAGTTACTACAGCAACACAGTTGAATAATGATATTCTTCACACATGTACATTATATATTTGTAACAAAATTTTTATTTCCTTTCATTTCCTATTTCCATATAAAAATTCATTTATTCTAGTTCAAATAACATAGAAAATAATCAAATAAATTATAATAAGTTTAACTTCTTTTTATTGATTACAGAAAAAAATTATTCTGCATTTCAAAAAATCTTAAATTTGTGTACCTATTAACTTCCATTGACCAATCAACTGTGATACATACTATTCCCAAACACCATGCACAAATAAAATCTAATTTGCATCAAATGTAAGTGAAATTATTCAGATAGATGCAGTTAAAAAGTTGGAATGCCTAACAATATCATTGAAATCATTGCTGAGAGAGCTTCCAATATGATGAGTAGCATAGAGAACAGACAGGAATGTTTTACTAGTGTTTGTAATATGATTTAAAGTAATTTTAAAAAAAAAGGCAAGTGAAAATAAATTAAAATAATTTATTTTTTTGCTTAAATATATCTAAACGTTACTCAAACTAATCAAACAATCTGAAAAATCTAAGAATTTGTGTTATAAGATAGAGGAGCAAATTAATTATATTTTCATGTCAACTGTGTGAATACATTTTCCCTCTATAAAAATCAAGTTTTGTAACTTTTTTTATAGAGGGAAATTTACACCTATAATCAATACGTAAAATTTTCATATAAAACTGGAACCACATTCTATGCAATTACTAATCCATACAATAATCTTGGAATATAATCAGAGAATAAAATCATTAAGAAATAAGAAGTAAGTAGCAATTTCTATTGCAAAGGAAAATCACCAGACATCTATTTTTAGCCTTACAATGACTTTTCAATTTGTTGTTAACTGTCATTTTACATAATTTTCAAAGTTTTTAGATATCATTCAATTTTTATCTCGATTTTGTTTAAGCTTTTACAATGAAAAAATATTTTATTACACTAACACTTTCCTCAAATTCCAGTCATAACAAACCTTTGATAAGAATGATCTGTCACTGAGATTTCAGCAATTCCCAAAAACATTTCTATTTTAGAAAATTACAAAAAATGCACATTGATGTAATGTGTGTTGATAAATTCATATCATACAGTTTATTTAGATGATTGTCTTTAATTAACAATAGTCTTTAGTTAAATATAATAAATTTATTTTTATACAATTAATAAACACCCCTATAAACAGTGATTTTAATAACACAGAGACTTAGTTATCACAAATAAAACAGTTTCTTAAAACATAACATTTTTAATGACCTAATAATGTGTGTATTGAAATCTTGCCTCATAATATGTATCATAAACACGATGTGTGTGTGAAATATGAGTTTTCTAAAAAAATATTAAATTAAAAGAAAGAAAATTTTAAAAACAAAGCATATGAGATAAATATACTTCTACGTAAACATATTAAACAAAGGCAAAATAAGACACAATATATAGGTTTAAAAAGTTGGCAAGGCAGTGTCTCATGAAAAGAACTTAGAGTAAACCTATGTCTGTATATTTTGCATGTACAGGTATACAAAATTTCAATCCTGTAAGAGATGTCATGTTTCTGAATAATGGTATAACAATAATCTAATTATTTTTATATGTTAAAAATAAATAAATAAAATATTTGTAAATAGTTTTTATTTGGTTAAACTAATTTTGTATGAGAAATTACATGAACAGACAGAGTTAAAGATTTGTTATTTTCAACTACAACAGACAAGAAAAAAAATTGACACCAGAGTTAATATCTTGTTATATAACTTCTCATCCATTCAATATGAGGATTTTGAGGATGAATTACATTTGTATGAAACAGCTTCCTTTATTTGGTTTGTCTTTAATGTAGGGGAACAATAACGGAAAGCTTCAAATAGACTTGAGCATTAGCATACCAATTTGGTTATTACGACATGGGTCATTTGGATGATTAGCTTGTATGTTTTTCAATAGATATTTTAAAAAGAGATTAATATGATCATAAAATTCTTAAGCTGATTTGTAAATCTTGCAATTACAACCACACACTAACATATATTACTCGTTTTATTTTCATAAAATTTATATTTTTAAAAATGCTGCAAACACCCAAGAGCAAAATTAAATACAAATATTATAGAATTTAAACAACTTTTAAGTTGAATAGTAACAACTATGTACTTCAAAACTATACAGAAATTAATCCGTGTTTATGCATAAAGTTAACATTTTTATTGGATTTGTAATAGAAAACATGAAATGTTAATCTTAAAAAAAGTAATCAATGGCTCAGTTAAAAAAAAATATTACTATAATTGTAATTAAAAAATACACATTGATGAAATACTTAAAAAACACTTTACACAAACTTATTACCTTGCTTGTTTGCTTATTAATATATAGTTCAGAAACTAATATTGCACATATGATATCAATAATGTGTTACTTTACACACAATGCTGACAACAAGAATATTGTACCTATATTTTTGCCACTATAAAAAATTATTATACTTCTTTTCTTATTCTAAATCTTATTCTTATTTCTTTCTTACTATCATTTTTTAATGCTTTGAAAACTTGTTTTATTTGTAAATAAAAATAAAACATAAAAATATAAGATTTAAATGAAAAATTTATTTTTTCAGCTCAAGTACTCAAAAAAATTGTATTGGTTTAAAAGTGTAGATATTGCATAAGTATAATACATAAAAAAAAAAAAAAAACTGTATAAAACACAATAAATTGAATTAATACAGCTGTCATTTATTTATTCATTTGGGAGAAATAAAAGCATTTTTAAAAAGATTTTTTAATATCAAATACAGAGCAGAAAGTAGAATTTTCAAAAAAATATTCTCCCTTTTAGGTGAAAACTTAGATCATAAGATAATAACTGATAACTTTAAAAAAGTAAAATAAAATAATATAAATACCTAAAGGACTAAGCGTGTAGGTAACAGCTTTGCTGTATATATAACAAACATTGCTCAGATCAATATGTTCTTGAAGAAAATGGGCACATTTTTGAACTAGTGATTCCATTTGATATTTGTGTGCAGCTTTTAATAATTCAATTGCTTCTTTCCAATCTTCTAAAATAGCATCACCCAGATACATATACCTATAAAATACATTAATAAATAAATAATAACACTAAGTAACTAAATATATAGAAACTCCCGAATCCTTCTTTTCAGCAGATATTCCATTTGTGGGTTTGCTAAAATTGTAATAATTAGCTTCATTTTTTTAAAAAACTTCAATGAATCAGTTATTCAGGCTATCTGTTATTATTAGCGATTTTTTAAAAATATATATAATTTTAATATATGTGTGTATTTATATATGCACATATAGTATACACATAGTTCATCCAAAGAGTTTCGAAAATATTTCACAATGTATAAAAGATAAACATTAAATAATTAATAACAAAATATGATTTATTACTCTAAAAATATATGTAATAAATAGAAACATATGGGTAGAAAAATGCGTCCCAAATATTAAGAAAAAAATCATTAAAATGAAATATAGAAACATACCATGTTTACAATCTTATTCACAATTCTTGTATTCCCTCCCTTTGTCTTTCAACCTGTGGTTTCAAGTAAACTCATCAGCTGATAAACAAGTCAGTTTCAACATTGGATTTTGAAGCAGCTTAGAAACAATCAGCATTTTGTGAAGTAGTAAGAATATATTAAGGCAGTCACATGGCATTCAAAATTTGTATAGTTTGAGATTTTACCTAAACACTTAAAACACCAGTTTTGAAGAATTCTCAGATACTGTTATGTTATAATTGTTGTGATTAATGAATTTATTTCATTATAAAATGCAAGACAAAGAGTTTATAAACTATTACCAAATTAAAAAGTCATTTTTTATACATTATTTCAAATCGTTGAAAACAAATATTTTCTAAATTCAGGAATATTCTTTACAAAATGTTGCCTCAATACTTAAATTTAGAAACATCAAAGATTTCTCTTCTGTATTAATTTTAATTAATTTAGAAAAAAAACACATTAAATGTTTTAATGCAATCAAAAAATTTAAGGATCAAATTATGAACAAGTGAATTTCTAAAATAAAAACACAACAATTGAGCTAGCAGCATATATATATATATATATATATATATATATAATCAGAGCCAGCATACAAATTGGTACCAAACAACAAATTCAAATTTTAAAATAATTTTTTAAATGAGAAAAATCACTAAAAAACTTGATAATTTTCAACCAATTTGAAAACATTTTTTGCAAGTTATTTGAAAAAAAAATAGCAATTCAGCTACAAAGAACAATTGGAAAAAAATATAATAACTTCCAAAAATAGACTACAACGCCACATGAGCAGCAAAATGGCTATTTATCTAAGCAGGAGATAAAGACAGGTTAAATGCTAAAAACTTGCTCACTTAATGTGTATTTAAAAGTTTGAAAAACTTCACTTTGATTAAAATTTTTTCTTCCTTTTTCTTTTTGAAGAATTAAAATGTTCATTGTGTGAACATAAGGTCATTATCATTGATAAATTTGTCAGCAATGGATTTAAAATACTACATTGTAAATTTATACTTTTTACGTCAAACAAAGCTATCCTTTTTAAAAATGCTTAAATTTATATGATGGTGCAAGATTACAATCCTATAATGCTTTGTTTGAGTGCTTATCTACAAAGTTTTTGAAAATCTCTTACAACATTGAATTACAAATGAATGTGTGCATTTTTTATGCACATTTACAAGAACATTTTCCTGAAAAACTAGTGTGTTGAATGAGAAATAGACATCAGGATTTAATACGATTATTTAAAAAACATCTTGTAGCACATCTGGTATAGTGGTTAGTGATGCTGACTGCTATGCTGTAGGACCTGGGTTTGAATCCCAGAGAAGGCATGAATGTTTGTAAATGTATAGTGCCTTTGTGGCATAGAAGCCTTTTAAATAGCCGTCAAGCCGCAAGTCCTGTCATGAGGTTGATGGAAGGAGAAGGGAGGTCCCTGGACCCCTTCAGGGTAATTTCCCTTAAATTGGGGAGGAACCGAGCTAAATCATACAGTCCACTGCATGGTGCTTAAGGCTATGGATAACAACAGGCGTACATCTAGCCCCTTGTTATAATAAACTTTGTAGGCCTGGATCTGACACAGTCGAGATCAGGTGGCATAAGAAACAACAACAACAAAATAATCTTATTTTAATTTACAACCATCACAACTTATGATTGTCCATAAGTATAATCCCATACAAATAAATAAATAAAGGTATTTGAATTTGAAGAACAATAATACATACCCCAATAGATAGCATATATACATTTCACATTATGAAAAAATTGTATATTTGTATATTACATAAAATTGTATATTTGTAATTTACATGTAATTTTTAAACCAGTTTGAATAAAAATAGTTTGAAATATATTTATTCAGTTTTAGATCATTTCAACTTATGACTTATTTAAAATTGAATTTGGTTGTAAGTCACACAAACTTTTGTGAAAAGAAGCTACCTGAAGAATATTAAAATATGCAGAAAGTTGATAATTACTCAAATTTAAGGGATGCAGCCTCTAAGAATTCCGAAATGTTTATGTACAGTAAAATGAAAACTTTTTTTGCATTCCTATTTAAATGATTGTTCATAAATAATGATCTAAATTAGCGTTTTCTTAAAAATATTTTTTCCATATGATCAATGGTAAATTTTTTATTAGAAGTACATACAATATATATGTACATGTTGTATAAGTTATATATAAGTAACTAGTCATTACCCACCCACTTCACTGGGTATTTAACAATGTTGTATAAATGTATACTGTTTACATATAGTATATGAATTATTGATATCTAGCATTAAGAATTCAATTGTATTGAAAAGCACATTTATAGCTGTAACTCTCGCCTCTTGATATAAAAAGGACATAAATTAAAATATCAAATTTCTATTTATATCTAAAATAAAAGTAGAAAGATTTTTTGCACTCACTTAACCTAATAATCAAGTGGATTTCCACCCAAGCAACTTTCAGTGGATCTCTACTCCATAAAATAAACATGCGTGCTAAATTTCAAGTCAAAATCTAACAGAGCAAAAACGGAATTTTTATCATCAATATCTCGTTAAGAGCATTTTTAGTGGATTACAATTCAACAAAAGAAGCATGCAAACCAAATTTTATTATTATAGTCTTAGCAGTTCCAAAATGGGAATTTTGTCTAACATTACACCCCAATAACTCTCCCTCCTGGAGTTGATTTCCGTAAAATCCATTCTTAGAGCAACTCTATTCAAACAAAGAAACGTGCTCAGCAAATTTCAAGTAAATGGGTTAAATTCAAAAACAGGAATATTTCTATAACGCCCCTTAAGCCCCCGCAACACCGCTTAGGAAACGATTTTCACAAAACTCATCTTATATCAGATCTCTACTCAATGTATGGAATCAGCTTACTCAATTTCAAGATTTTACATCTAATAGTTTAAAAAAGGAGTTGCCTATAATGCCCCTTAATTCTCCACAACGCTACTTGGGAATCGATTTTCACAAAACCCATTTTGTAGCGGATCTGTACTCTATGAAAGGAATCTGCTTACCAAATTTCAAGATTGTACGTCTAATAGTTTAAAAATGGAAATAATTATCTATAATGCCCCTTAAGCCCCCGCAGCGTCACTTAGGAAGTGATTTTCACAAAACCTATCTTATAGCGGATTTCTACTCAATGAAAGGAATCTGTTTACTCAACTTCAAGATTTTATGCCTGATTGTTTAAAAATTAAAATAATTATGCATAGCACCCCTTAAGCGCCCTCAAAGCCCCTTGGAGATCGAGTTTTGTAGAAATCACTATGTAGGGAATCTACTTTATGAAAGAAATCTGTGTACCAAGTTTTAAGACTGTACAACTAATAGTTTAATAATGGAAATAATTATCTATAACGCCCCTTGGGGTTTGATCTTTGCAAAATCCGCTCTTAGCTGATGTCTTCTCCATGAAGGGAACCTATCTACCAAATTTCAAATCCATAGGTTTAATAGTTCCGGAGATATCATGATTAGTCAGTCAATCAGTGAGTGAGTCGCTTTACTCCTTTATATATATAGATATATAAGTATGTGTGTTGTTGTATGTATCTCCATAGTTAAATAAATAAACTGTTTAGTATCATTTACTATTTTTGTCTTTTTCATACCCTTCTCAAAATATAGTTTGGATATTTTTCTTTGGCATTAAAGGCGCAGAGTTTTTTCTACTGAAGCAAATTCTGATTTTGTATATTCAGAATTTGTGTTTTCAGTAATAATTGATAGATGAAATATTATTATTTTGCAATGAGTTTACTTTGATTGATTGTGTACAAAGAAACTCTTATTCTTCTGTAAGGGTCCTTTCATGGACTTAAATATTATCCTTAATGAGGAGGTTATAACAAGGTGTTAAAGACTCTCAAAATAGCTAGATATACAGAAAATCGATATTAATATGCCACTAACCTGTTAATTTATTGAATAAGGCATTTATATATATCATGTGTGCATATGTATAAAACAAAGATAGTTCAAAAAGTAGGATGGAACTAAAGAAAATTGTAACAAGTTATTAAAAACTTTATACAAACATTACACAGAATATATAAACAAAAATCCCCTCCAGGTAAGAAAATAAATTATTATTTATCAAATGCCTGGCTATTGACCATCAGGTCATTAGGCAATGGGTTCTCCAATATTTCTTCAAAATGCAGTCCAAGCTCTTAAGTGCAGAGCACACGTCTAGATGAGAGCGTCCATGATTTGTCCAGAAGCACACAAAACACAAAAAGGGTTATCAGTCAGATTAAAACGATACAAGTGAGCACAAAGGCAATCAAGTCCAGTTAATATTTTAAACTTGGCCACAGCAGCAGCATGAGGAGAGTCCGAGACACAGTTAGAGAGTAATGTAGCAGGCCTCCTCGTGGTGCACCCTGGATAATGCTAAATCTACTATAGCAACTGCCACTCTCTACAAATCTTTTTTTGTGATGCATTCAAATTCAAGTAAGAAAATAAATTTATGACAAAAAAATATAATAAATAAGAGAGGGAGAGCAGACAAAGATATCACATCAGTGCACATCAAGAGTGCAAAGCCTGCACTTGTCCGATGAGCCCTCCTCCAAGAGTCATCAATTTCAGAATACAATGCAGTAATTGAGGAAAAAAAATTCCGAAAGAGAAAGTTTGATTTGATTAGTCATAACCTCATACATTTACATTTAGAATAATTTTATTTTGTTATAATTATGAAATACATAGTATCTATCTCATTAAAAAATTTCAACTGAATCATTTTCAAGCAAAATATTACAATTTCAACAATACTCACAATATGATTGATGTGAAATTAAAGGTCATAAGAAACATTTTTTTTATTATTAAAGAAACATTAAATTCATTTAAAAAATTTATTGCAAATGGCCTGTGATATTACTAGTAGTTTTAAAGCATTCAGTTCCGTGTTTAATATTGGAAATAAACCTAAACATTTGGAACATAAATCAAATAAACACATTCATTCCTGAATAGCTGATAAGCACAATCAAATAAATTTGATTAACATCTAATACTACTAATTCTATGAAACAAGATTTAAGAGATTTATAGATAAAACAAGTCATACTATATATATATTGCAACCTTCAGAAATGTTATTCAACAATGATAAAAGTAGAAATTTAAGATTCATTTCAATTAATAAAAGCAATTTTTCTCCACTCTACTAATGAAAAACAATTAAGAAACTTCATTCCAATATTTTTACACCTCCCCTTTCTTTTTACAGATATTTAAGAAACCATCATTTACTACTGCAGAAAAAAGAAAACAAGCCAATGTACAATATACATTACAAAAGAGTGAGGCATTGCATGTATAAAATATGCATATCGTACAACACAAATGTATTTGCACAAATAATTTAGAGAATTTCAGGTAATAATTAATTACATTGTACACATTTCCTAGGCATTCTATAGAATGCCAAATCAGAAACCAGCAAATTATGAAACACATTTTTGATTTGCTTCGAATATCACGTGGAAAGGCATGTGACTTTATAGGTGCATCTCAAGCTCAGAATTTGCCACTTGCACTTTGCAGTTTATTCAGGAGTGTCAAAATATGCAACTTTACTTAATTTGTTCAACAAAAAATTAGTTTTTTACTGTACTGTATGAAAATGGAGGAGCAAGAGCTGTAGTGTTGGAGAGGGAGTCCTGATCTAGAGACATGAAACAATGATTCAATGATCAAATGAACAAAACTCGAATTAGTGATGCTAAACACAGTTTTTTCTTTACTGAATTACCAAAACTTAATAATGTTGTACACAAAAAGCCAAACTGACTATTAAGAAAGAACCCAGGAGCTTTTTGTTGCTGAATATCTTTGATGTGATGATTGTGGAAAACAAAAGTAAACTCATTTATCTTGTTAAAGAAGGCTTTATGCCATAGATTTTGAGTTATCTCCCATACTTCATGAAGTTCATTTGACTATTGGACATGGCGGATATGATAGAATGGTGATAGAACTTTCAAACAAATATAATAAGGTTACACTTCATGATACTGAACTGTACGTCCACCTTTGTGAATCTTATCAGAAAAAAACAGAAAGAAATGGCATTGTTATGAAACCAATGAATTTTTCCAAATTAAATCAGGTAGAGGGCCGATCCTAGCAGGTGTGCATCGCAAGCGAGCGGTCATGCCAAGGGATGGCGGCAGGCCATATAAGGTTCTATCAATCAATCAAACAAATTTTTTTACGAATTTCTCAAAATAAAACTTATAATAAATTGAATATATATGTTGAATTTTTTTTGAATAGTTATTAAAAAAT